TCACATTCTCTCTATATAAGTGCACCAGATCGAAATAAAAAAAAAAAAGAAATGAGAAGAGAAGAGAGAGAAGAGAAGAAGAAAAAAAAGATATTTTTCTATTGCTTTTGCTGTTGTGTTATTCTACTAAATCAGCGAGTCAATATTAGACGAGAGAAAAAGAAATTGATAAAACATTCTAACGGAAGATCGAACATAATTGAATTAAAGTGCGAGAGTAAAACGTGTTGATCAATTGAACAAAAAAAAACAAAAGAAAAATTAAATATCATGCCGGTTCATCGTCCATCACGACCAATGGCTACAACATCAAATTCTCGAAAATCAATTGGATTTTCAATAAATGATATTATTAAAAATGATGATACATCGAAAAATTCTCCTCGACATAATCCTCCAACAATTCCATCTTATTTACCTCCAACATCATGGATACCACCACCAACTAATTTAGATCCTATTGTTCAATATCAACTACAATATCTTCGAAATAGTGGTCGATTATTTGATGGAAGATTTACTAGTAAATGTTTTTATTTTTTATTTATTTTTGTGTTTCAAATTAAATTAATTTTTGTTTTTTGTAATTATTACTCATAGGTCCAGAAGCAGCTGCAGCACTTATACTTCATTCATTTCGTAAACCAAAACGTGTACGTACAGCATTTACACCAGCTCAATTACTTAAACTTGAAAATGCATTTGAAAAAAATCATTATGTTGTTGGACAAGAACGTAAAGAATTAGCACGACATTTAAATTTAACTGAAACTCAAGTAAGTCATCAATTAGAAAAACGGATATGTTATAGTAAAGAAATTCCGGTATTTGCTTAAGGAAATACACTAAAATGATGACGGTTTCCTCCGGAGAAGACGAAGAAGAAAAAAACTGATAGATTAGTAAAAATAACAACTTAAAATTGATTGATGAATTCCGAACGCTAGAAAAAATAAAATATATTTTAGGTTAAAGTATGGTATCAAAATCGTCGTACTAAACATAAACGTTTAAAATCCGAAGATGGAAATAATAGTTCAAATGATATAAATGATGATGAACAACAAGATGAATCAATTGAACATGAACATAATCAACAAAATCAATCGGATACATCTGATATAACTAATAAAAATGATGATGAACATTCATGGGATAATAATAATCAACATTATCAATTTATTTCTCAATCATCTACACCACGTTCATCGGGTTCCGATCGATATTATTTACATCTTGCTGCTGCAGCTGCTGCTGTTGCTGTAAAAAATGATTCATCAGATGATCATCGATAATAAATTTTTTGTTCTTTTTCCCTTGTTTTAAATCGATAGAGACATAACCGAAATGAGACAAACAAACAAAACCCGGTCTAATCTCTATCTTATTCGACATTCCATTTGTTTCCTTTTGCTTTTCTGCATGTATAAATAACTTCATGGTTTTTTTTTCTTCTGTTTTGTGTAATATTGGAATTTTGGCCTCGTTTTTTTTTGTTTCAAGAAAAATTCGAATAATTATACATGGAAAACAATTTGATGAAAACTAGAAATCATAACTGGTCTTTTGAACTATATTGAAGATTTTTGTTATCGTCTTACGATTAGAGGTATGTTCGAAAGATGAAAAGTCAAGATTGATCATTATGAGAGATTGATTTGAGATCATATAGTTCATTGTATTCTTGATATACATAAAATGATCTATTCACTGTTTTAATAAGAAAAAAAATAGGATCATATTCGAATAGTTTTCGACTGTCTAATGGAAAATAGCATGCAAAATGTGCTAGATAATTTTTGAGAATCACTCAAAATTTTCATAGACATGGAATTCTAAGTGGATGGAGTTAACCTAACCCATTGTACTTGCTGATTGAGATCTATGAATATTCAAGATAATGATGCATAATATTGTTTCATGTTAAGCAACATATTCGACGTTTTTTTATCAAATATCATTGGAGTATTTTAATTCTAATCATATGAAAGCATTGGCAATGTCTTATTATAAGGTGCATTGAAGTATTGAAAGAATACAAAACATGATTTTGTTCATTGGCTATTTTATTGTATACATATACATAAGTCGATCAAAGTTATCTGTTTGGTTCATTCTTATCTTTATTATTTTTTTCTTTTTGTATCTTTAATAATAACTATTTGTTATCAATGTTTGAAGCAAATAGGAAAGAACGAAAGAATCTAGAAGAATAAAAATCCAAAAGACAACAACGTATATTGACGTTAATGTATGGTAAAAGAAAGTATTTATTGTACGTTGAAACATAAGACATTGATTACTTTAATTTTACACCGTCACAATAAACGAAGAACAAAAAAAAAAGCGGATTTATATATTTTATTATGTTATTTGAACAAGAATATATCAATAATTTCTTAAGAAACTCAACCGAAATCTTTCTTTTATTAAATAAGAATTGCAATGCATGTTTAACTGTTACAGTGAAATGATTAATATTTCACGAAAAAATGACTTATATTTGTTACAGAATTTTTTAACTTCTATTCAATTTTCTGATGGTATAGATATAATTGATTAGAAATATAAAATAAAAAACAAAGATAATAACTTAGAATAGCTTTTAATATGTATTAATGAATGCTAAATTTAGTAATAAAAACTCTAACTTTCCTATAGACATGAATAATATTATGCTATACCTTTAAGCAATTTACTTAATATTAAATGTATTTCTTTGCTCGTTCTATGTTCATATATTAAGGATCAATCTTTACCCTTTGTCAAAATTATTTATGAATAAAATGATTTTTTTTAGGAAGCCAGAAGTTATTTAATTCTTTTTCTTCACGTGGTTATTTGAGTGATCATTTGTAGAATGCTTTCAGAAAATAAATGGAAAATGGAGTTGAAAAGCTTTGCAAACATGTCTTGTAGTAAACTTGATAAACTATCAATCGATCAAACAAAAGTTTTCTTTTTGCCTTATTGCACCTCCGAAAAGGTAAATTACTAAATCAATAAGTCTGAAAAAAACAAAAAAGATGGCTTTTTTTAAATAAATTGTTTTACTACTAACAGAGAAGATATTACGTAATATATAACGATGATCATTATCGCTACTACTGATATCAATATCATTCAAAAGTTTTACAAAAAAAAACTAGTTAGATAAGATATAATAAGATACAGAATGGTTACTATAGGATTTTTAGAAAACCAAATCTTTAGATGTCCAATGCCTATAATTCTAGTATGAAATTTGCCATCGACTAGAGATGTGAAAGGTAGGGCGAGATAACTGTCTATATCTCTAAAGTTAAAAATGACAATTCACTGAGGTTTCCTTTGCTATGGGTAAAATGAATTTTTCGAATGCATCGTCTAAAAAAAATAAAATATCTCTGATATTCACTATTGTTCAACGTCCAACACATAGTTAAACTACAGTGGCGTTTCTTTTTCGTTCAATTAAATCACTTGAACCTTGTGCGATTTCAATGAACAAAAAGTATCGATCTCGTACAGTATTAACTTATTATTACAACAATGACAATCTCATCATGGAAGAGACAGTGTTTACTGATACAGCCTTTCGCACAAGCACCTATAACTATTCCGTTTCTAACTGTCAACGATGATCAGAAAAATCGACTGTCCATCCTATCACTGATGACCAAGAAAAAAAATGAGAGGTTTTCGAGGAGAACACTGAATGAGATTTACAGATACAGAAGAATTAAGAAATATTCACCAGTCTAAAAACGCAGAGTTCATTAGTTGAAACCGATTTTTCCATTTGCTATTGATTCTTCAATCATCATACGACTTAATTGACAAAGAAGAATTCGTCAACACTGATCATCACTTTTTCTATTACACTTGTTCATTTTCTGGACACATCGACTAAATAGTTATTTTATTCGGATATTAATTCGAAAGTGCTTCATTTCAACTGGATTCGTACAAATGTTGGTTGTGCCATTTGTGAAAACCAAATGTGATGGAGACATGAATCATATGTCACAACCGTCGTCTATTTACCATTATTGCTGCTCAAACTTCGACTATTAACTTTCTTTTTCTCTTTTTGTTTCGTTTTCCTACAAAATCTGGATCCACATTTTCATCATGAAAGAAATAAATTCAAGCACTTCCTTCTTCTTTCATTAACAATTATAGTATTTTCTTTTCAATTCTCACATTTTCAAGTGAACATTTCTGCAAGACTTGAAGATTCTAATGTTGATGATAATCATCTTAGGCGATATTGTAGAACTTTAATTAGGTAGAAACTCTCATGGTGATGAAATTATTTAGTTATTTCGACTGCCATTGTGAAGATATGAGCGCTAGTGTGGGTGTTATTGAAGATAAGATTGAAATCCACAATCACGCCAACACTCGTGCCACAATGTTACAAGATATTGAGTTCCTTGATAATTTCGTGCTTGGCACTTTTGCGACGAATATTCACCACGAGATTTCTAGATCATTGTCATTTACGTTCACAACAGCACTCCAGAGCAAAGACCTTTTCTCTGCTTAATAACTACCAATGTTTACGAATAGCAAATTTGACTTTAGTCGGTGATTTTAATAAACTGACGCGATGCCACTTATTCTTTTCAAATGATAGAAAACCAGAAAAATCTCAATCACAATTCTAGTTCTAAATTATTGTTTACTGTATATCAATAATTTTCATTCTCTGACCAATCAAAGTTTAACTTCTCTTCGAAGTTTACCTATCTAACAGAAGAATTGTTTATATCGTCGATGTTCAAATAATGTGCTCAAAATGTTTCAAAACTGCAAGAAGACAGAAACATATACATAATAGCAAACTATTCGGAATAGAATGCTTTGATAGAAAGCGATGAAAAATAACTTTATTCCGTTTGATTCATGATGATCTGCTAGTCTATATAAAATATTTCGATATGAAATGACTTTATTATTCTATCACGTGTTCAAGATTACAATAAAAATATTAAAGCAAGGTCAATTCACGAAAATCAACAGCTTCTATCAATATTGAACTTTTGTACTCGATGATTTCCACAATCACTTACGTACAGATTTCCTTCTCCATCAAGCGACAAACCAATGGGACAAGAGAGTTGATTGGATTGACTTCCTTGACCATTTCCACCAACAATGACATTTCCTTGAGTGGCTCCTTGAGACCAACGCATTATTCTATGATTCCAATGATCAGCTACATAGATAGCACCTGACTGATCCACGACAATTTTCCAAGGATTTGATAATTGTGTCAGACTATTTCCTGCACCTTGACCACCAGCTACAACAATGCCTTGCTTCGCACCTTCCATCCACTTCATTACACGATGATTATTGTAATCCGATACGTAGACGGAACGATCTCGATCTATGCATGCGTATATCGGACAATGCAACTGATCAAAACGGTTTCCTGCTTCATTTCCACCCGCAACAACTATTCCTCGATTTTCTCCCATTCGATATCGCCTTACTTCATGTTTATTGTAATCAGCAACATAAAGAAATCCATTGTCGTCCGTAGCCAAGTCAATACATCCAACATTAGAGATAATCGTGTCTCCATTTGTACCATTTTGACGAGGCCATCGAACGACTCTTATATTGTAATAATCACATATGATGAAGCTATCTGTTTCTTTATCAATCATCACATCTGTGGGTCCGTTCAACTGATCAGGACGATTTCCTGCTCCATTTCCACCAGCCACAACTCGACCAGTCGTTGCACCACGTTCCCATTCCACAATACGATGGTTGCTGTAATCCGCAATATAGACAGTTTGATCATCATCAACACACAAACCATATGGATTGGAAAGTTGATTCAATCCACTACCGGTTCCATTGCCTCCAGCTACTGTGACAGCATTCTGTATCCATTTTGTGTTTGTATTCACATTTGCAATGCTTAGTAATGGTGCTAAAAGAAAAAACCACTTGTACAGTTGCATTCGATAAATTTACGCCGATGAACAGCGATATTCTAAGTACAGAACTTCGATTAAGCAAGGAAAAGAACTGTTTTGCCCAGTGCTCCTATAGAACAATGCCTAAATAGTGACCCTGTTGTTTTGGTAATTCGAATGAAAAAAAAAACAAATATTGCTATAGAATGATACTTTACATTCAAGTCCTCAAATTTAGGCTCCAATATTCTCCTCATATCACCATGATCGAAAGCATTTTCATCTTTTCAACAACCTTCGTCAAGGCAATTGTCATTATTGATCATCAGAATCGATGAAAAAAAATTGGCAACACCCCTTTTTCGAATAGATAATTAATGAAAACGCTTGAAATAACATTTGTCTTTGAATCAAAATTAATCTGGCAGCTATTATGATTTCCGAACAATGCTCTTTGAAATCAATTCGATCGAACTTTTTCTTCAATTATTTTTCCAAGAAAGACCATCAACTGCATATCCTCATCACTGTTTTGAAAATACAACCCAAGTTGAAAACTATCAATATAATTTCAATGATGAAATAAAAAATGTTTTTGTAAAGAACAAATAATCGACATTATAGTAAATACTTCACGAAGTTTCTTTCAGTGCTATTATAATAAAACCAATGAGATAAACAGTTTGAATGTGAGAAAAGAGTATAGAAAAATGTTGTCGAATTTTTCTCATCATTCAGAATTTCACAGTTGTAACAAAATTTTTGAAATACTTGACACGAATATTCATTCTCGAAAAAGTGAAAAACAATGCAGCATTTGAGCAAATAACAGTTCATGGAGAAAGTCTTGACACATCACATTTGTGTGCTTTACATCGGATGTCAGTCGACACTGAAGAGAATTGAAGTTTAAATTTCTAATAATGTTCGTTCAAAAAAAAAATTTCTGCATCACTTATTGAGCGTTGAAAGAAACAAAGTGTGAGATTTTCTATTTGACTGTGAAAAGTCTTCACTCAATAATATTTAACAAATATTGACCAGTTCATCGTTTGAGATTTTTACATATGTCGCTAGGTATCGCATTTCAAAACTAAACCGTTCTTTGAAAGTTTTTCTGTCAATCAGATGATGTTGATTGGAAATCGAAGATTGCACAATCCTTTTTTTGGTAGGTTTCAAAAAGAAAACTGAATTTGATGATCATTAAGATTTAAAGAGGTATTTTCTTTTTATTCTATTCCCTAGCATCACATTCATTCATATCTAGTTTCACATTAAAATGTTCAATATCGGGCGTATCAATCTAATTTTGTTTTATATTGGTTATTACGAAACATTCATTGAATATATCACTGCCTTCAATCACTGTTCTTCTATTACAAAGACAAAGAAGAATCATACGTTAGTAGCTGAGAACTGATGCTTGAGGGGGAAAGAATAATCAGTTTGTACATGAGTTTCGAGTCGTTATATTATTTCGTTCCCAACGATCTCGACTATGGAAGAAAAGCTTGGGCGCTTGGCGTCTCATTTCAATGAAGTTGCAGAATGAAACTCTGTGATCTGGGATGTTCTGCAATGAAATGCAATTTTAATAGGCAAAGAGTCGTTTGGAAAAAATAGAAGAAAATGAGATGAAGAAAAACTGTTGCGATAGTTGTAATTTCAATTACGTAAGAGACACTATTTACCTTTCATTCCAAAACGAATTTTATTGATGAATGATGTTGAATCATATTCAATTTTGAAATTTGGTGGATTATTAAGAATGTCTTTCAATCGCTTAAGTTCTTCATTAAAAAACTGAACATCTGGATCAGAAACATCATTTTCTTTCCGACATTGAATGAGTTGTTGTATAAGCTGCTCCAATTTTAAATCAAGATCTGTGACGAACGTAATGACACACGATGAGAGTGCACGACGAGTTTCATTAGCCACTTGTCGAATCTTTTCGATCGATTCACTTTCCCATTTATCGATTTGTTTCATTAATTCATGCTTTTGTGGCTCAGCTTTTCGTTCCTCAACGTCAATTTTGAACTGATTAACTTGATCTTCAACTGTATCTAATTGTTCGCTCAGTTCTTTACGATGCTCAATCACGTGATCTAAGCACAAGTCTTGGGAACATCCACAACATTTTACAGTGTTTTTTGGTTTTTTGCATTTAACACAAGAAATTTTGCCGGTTGCTGTCGCCATGTGTATATATATTGTAGAGAAAAAAATAAATAAATGAAAAGAGAATTGATAAAAGGTGATAGCAGCAGCAACGACCCAGTTTGTCTTTTGCTTTATCAACAAAAAAAATAATTGCACCATCAAGTTGCCTCGTTCTGTTTTCAGATCTTACCGTTAGAAACATCACAGCCAATCACAATTGCTGTCGATAGTTTACATAAAACAAGAGAAATTTGTATGTTAATTGAATTTCGCTTTAGAATTCTATTGCAATCAAATTCGACTTGTTATTTCTGTATAAGAAGCCCATTCATAGGTTAATTTTCCGGGATCCATTGGTGTTGGAAAAAAAACTTTGGAAAATTTCCATTGATTTCAGACAACTTTGTCAAACTATCATCGATGAAAAAAAAACATGCAATTAAATCTGTTATTTTTTCAGCAATGATTCAAAGAAACCACAATCACTGTTGGATAGAAATGTTGAGTTGATCAACGATCATATTGAGAATTTTGGACATCATTCTTACGAACTGAAATTTATTTCTCATTTCGTACATCCATATTCTATAGTCAAATTCACTGAAGTATTTGAAAGTCCTATCCATCAAATAAATCGACGTGCTATTTTCTTCGATAAACTTCCATCCTCGTCTGACTTAATTGAAAAAGAAACAACTTGACAATACTAATGCCTCATGTTCCTATTACATAAGATTAGTTTCAGTACACCTCAGCTGAATAGATAATTCACTCAAATATTTATTTGAAAGTCTCTAATTTGAACTGAATTCGAATTAATGTCGGTTATGGAATTCGAGAATATCGTATGAGATAAAGACGTGAACTACTTCTCACAACTATTATTTACTCATTGTTGTTGTTGTTCTAACTCCAACAATCAATTCTTTTTTTCTGTATCTGTATTCTCGTATCATTACATCCTCTGGTTCTATATTCTCCACATGAAAGAATTGAATCCTATCACTTTTTTTTCCGCTCACTTTCTAATTTTGACATTTTCAAATGAAACATTCTTTGAGATTTGCAAATTGTGATGTTGATCATGATCATCTTACTTGATGTGCTCGTATTTTGATTAAGTATAAATGCTCATTAGCATGAACTCCTTTAGTCGTTTCGAGTTTCATTATGATCATTATCTGTCGAAGTCGACTAAATAATCTGACATACTTCGTCGCGCAATGACGAATCATTTCTTTGATTTTCCCTTTGGATTTCTTTGTTTTATCTTATGAAATTTAGTGAAACATCACGGCTCTCATTTCGAATGAGAAAAAAGAATCAAATAATCTCCTTTGTTTTCAATGAATTCGGATTTTTGTTCGTGTTCTATCACGAAGAGCTACAGAAACAATTATTTTGATTTCATTCGAGCATGTTTGATCACAATGCTCGATCGAAAACTTGTTGGTGCAGCAATGATCGAGTAAGGTATTTGCTACTATTCATGTATTTAACACTGACTTTAGTAATACGATAAGATTTTCACTGATTTATCAAAAAATATGGTAGTTAATGAATCAATATGATCACCAGATTCATTGAAAAGAATGATCAGTAGAAGAAATTTACTTGTATAGTAAGGTCAAAGACATTGACTGACAATTAAATATGAGAAACCGCTCATCTACTTACAATGGAAGTAGACATTCGGATCTATTATACGGGTGCATTCGCTCACTTCCTTCATGAATCTTCAACATGATATTTCCACAAATTATCCCTTGCATCCAAAATAACAAACTAGAGCAAAAGATCTTTTCGTCGTCTCCATAACTATCAACTTTTGCGAACGGCACACTTGACTTTCGTAGGTGATTTTAATAAACTGACGCGATGCCACTCATTGTTTTCAAATGATAGAAGACCAGAAAAAATCTCAATCGCAATTCTAGTTCTAAATGATTGTTTACTGCATATCAAGAATTTCCATTCTCCGACCAATCAAAGTTTAATTCGTCTTCGAGGTTTACCCCCCAGTGAAAAATGTTCCTAAAAAAAACGGCACAGGACGCGTTCATGAAAACATCGAAACTTGTCTTTTACGTGAAGAACGCGTTCCACAGTTTAGTGAAAGCGTTCATAAACGAAAAGAAACGTTCTGAATCTGAAGGAACGTATTCTTTGCTGTTCCACACTATTACAGAATGGTTTCTTCTCAGCTCAAAAACGGTTCTCTATGTATATAGAATGCGTTCTCAACCGTTTCCTAAAGCAAAAGAATTAGTTTCTGTCAATACTTTTTAAAACGGTCAGCATAGGGTTCTACCAAAATTAGATCACTTTCTTTGACGTTCTCTAGAAGAACACCTACGAATGAATTCTTTGAACTGATGAACGCATTCCAGACAATCTAAAATCATTCTTAGAAGAAAAGAATGCATTCTCTGCCGTTCTCTAAATTGTTGAAATTTTCATCTGGATTTAAACTCAATTTTGAACCAAAATTGACAACTCTGGAACACGGCAAGTTGAAAATGACGCCAAAAATGGTGAAATCTCGAGGAATTATACCTCATAGTCGCTAGTTCTGATTTTCAAAAAAAAATTTCGAATAACACTTTGACCTACGAAAAACTGAAGCACACCGTTGGATAGAGCTCATTGAGTTGGACTAGAATACGACTCCCGGCGAATCAGATGTTAACTTCACTTCTCTTCGAGGATTCTTGTAAGAGATGTGAGTCTGAGTGATAACGGTCAAGAAAGCGTTCCACGAAAAAACTTTGACTTTTTTAAGAAAAGAGAACGTTCCTGAAAAACTGGAACTCGTTCCAAAATGGAACGGCGAAGAATACATTCCACTTTTTGGAATGTGTTCTTGACCGTTCCAT